TGTCAATCGACGTCGATTCCAGCCTCATGTAAGTTTCTGCATGTTTTGCCATATCTTATAGTCTGCTATTTCTGTATTCATATGAATTTCGCCGCATTAGTATCTGTTTAATAATTGGTAACTATCTCCCCATCCCTTGTATTATTTAGTTTTCTTTTTCTTTTTCTTATATTCACACTCCTTGTAAACTAGAAATAAAATCTTTGTATTATATATTCTCGTGTTGTCTTCTGTTGTTCTGTGTCTGCGAATTGTTCATTTTCTCTCTGCGTTTACCGACGTCCGGAATTGGAGAATTCCCCTCCCAACGTTCTTTTCTTTATTTTTATATCGAACCTTGGGATCTCTTACTTATTTTTTTTATTTTTTCGTTGCGTTCCGGCTATTGTAGTCCCAACGAAACCCCGGGCGGAACAATATATATATATATATATTATAAAAAAACTTATTGAAATCTCTACACAAAAGCTTTCATATTTCAATACTTTGATTGTACTTCTTCAGTCGATGGTAAATAACTGGTGAGTAAATGATTTTTAAGGAAATTTAAAAACAAATTTTCACCTCTTTTCCGAAATTAAAGTGTGAGGAGGGAATTTAAGGTCTGAATTAAAATAAGACTTATGGGTATGTCTTGATTAACCAATTAAATGTCAGATCTATGTTAAATAGAAAAATAAGTTCAGAAGGTGGAGGTGGGTGAGTTATTTTTTCATAATACAGTTATCGAACTGTATTAGAGTGCAATCAGGCTTGTTGTTGATATTGGTAAACCAACTGATGACTTCTTTGGTATTAATCCAGTGTTAATCCAACGTAGACTTTAATTTGTTTAGTAATCCTTTCTAGGATTCTTTTGCTTATTTTTCCGATGTCGGGTCGGGTTGGATTAATCATTCTAGTAGTAGAGATTTCCTCAAAATCCGGTTTGTGGATTAATACCAGTCAATATCAATATTGAACCCTAATACAATTCGATATTGTGGATTATTACCAGTCAGCATCAAGAGATCTATTCACGACTACCCTAGAGTTTGCTACTTTATAATCCTACCTAACAGAAGAAGAAATGAACATAATTTTGAATTGCAAAAATATCTGTCCTCATTCATAATGGGAACCAATGTATTAAAAACAATGAAGACCATTTTGACATTACCATGGGATCTTTAGACTCTGCAGAGTCCTCTGACCTTGTCGGTCTATTTATACTATACAACCTAACCGCTCACCGTGAATTAGATATTAAGGACATCGGGCTATATAGGGATGACGGGCTCATGGTAGTGAGGATTTCCCCAATTTTTAAAATAGATAAAATTAGAAAGATAATACATAGTTAATTCAGAAAACGCAATTTAAGGACTACAGTTAACACAAAATTGAAAAGGGTAAACTTCCTCGACATAACTTTAGACTTAATGAACAACATATATATATATATATATATATACCCTCATCAATAGAGAAAAAAATCAGCATGAACTCTGCAAATGAAGAAATATTCCAAAAACAGTAATTTTTACAACACATCTCTAAAAATAGTGGATATAAAAACGCTAACATCAATTATAAAAACAATAGTACTAACCAGAAGAAAAATAGAAAAAGAAAAATCATTTGGTATACCGCCCTTCCGCTCAACCAGGTGGTTAGTATTAAGCTAGGACAAAAATTCCTAGCTTTAATTGAAAAACACTTTCCTACTGATAGCAAACTTAGCAAGATCTTTAATAAAAACACCTTAAAATTAAGTTACAGCTGCACTGAAAATCTAGAAAGAATCATTAAAAAAAACATAATAATAAAATCCTGGAAAAACTGCCAGAATCAAATTAATAAAAACCCTGAATTAAAATTAGTAAAAAGTAATGAAAAATTATATTATTAAAGAAACCCTGAGGATTGCCCGTTGGATAATAAATGCTGCATAGAATCTGTGGTATACACAATCTCATCTATTGATAATCCAAACATTGAAATGATATATATAGGATCCACGAAGAAATGATATATATAGAATCCACGAAGAATGAATTTAAAATTAGGTGGAGACAACACAAGATCTCCTTCAATAATATTAGAAATAGAAATCAAACATCTCTATCTCAATATTTTTTACATTTAAAAGAAACGAATAAAACACCAAAAATAAAATGGAAAATAATAAATAGAACAAGAACCTGTAAAACCTGGGATGACTCATGCTCTTTATGCCTACATGAAAAACTACACATTATTAAGTTTCTACAAAACGAAAATTTATTAAATCAAAGACACCGACAAATATTCGCCTTAAATAGTTAGCTTAAAAAAATTTTCAAATTTCAAAGTCTATTATCAAGTTCAATTAAAGCAGCAGGTTTAAAAACTTAACCCAATCATAAGAAAAAAAAACCTTTATGAAGTCGTCAAAAAAACAAATTGTAGCTCAATAAGACGTATTCATATACAAACAACCCTTTTAAAAAAAATCTTTAGGTATGCAAATACGAATTTAACGGTTTAACAAAAAGTGCCAAAAACTCTCTGTCGCTGAATTAGACCAGACGATATGCGTCAAACGGATGTTAAAATTCGCTTGAAAATAGGCACCCCGAACCTACCTTGACTTAATCTCTTTTCGAAAGTAACTAATATATTGATACAACAGTCGTCCCTTATTAAAATGATTGGTTTTCTCGGTTTCCATAGAAATTAATATTAGTAATGTATATGCTTATAAGGCTCCGTAAATTTCAAAATTAGTTATTCCAAAATTCGCTTGAGGATGAAACAGATCGAGGTAATTTAATTTCTATAATTAAACTGAAGTTTTTAGCTTCTGTTTTTGAAACTTGAGAACTCTTATGTAGCGATGGAATCATATTTTTTTTAAAAAAAATAATTATTATATATATATAATTGTACAAAATGCAATTAATCCTTGGTAAAATGCCCGGTGTCCAGTGCCAAAACTTGAATATTAAACAAAAATAGTACTAAGTGAATAGTCAGTCACGGCTATAGTTTCATACACATCCTCTGTGTAATGATCAGGTTGCTAACAAAAGTTTTTTCTAGCTTTGCGGGCAAATATATCTCCACTTCCTAAGTTTGACTAAAAAAAAATATGGGTGTTTCACGTCAAACACGTTATACATATACAAACCAAACTCACCTTGGGAGAATAAAGCCTCGACGGTATAAAATGGAATTACTATTTCAAGACGAGCAGAGATGTTAAATTCAACTCGACGAAAAATGAAAACAAGCAACCAGAACATTAAAAATGTGTTATTTTTCTTATATATATATATATATATATATATATATATATATATATATATATATATATATATATATATGAGAGAGTGGTCACTATTACACGATTCACATAGGTCTTTAGTACCGGAGTGATAATACGTGTGTGCTCAACGATACCGTGTCTAAGAACATTTATAACACACGGAACAGGAACCAATGCCGAAGAGGAATATATTCATCCGCAAACCCTGTAATACCTTTCTAGACAGACTGATGATTAGACACATATATATCTACATCTATATTTATCTTTCTCTCTATATATATGTGTGTGTGTGTGTGTTTGTTTGTGTGTGTTTGTTTGTTTGTGTGTGTGTGTGTGTGTGAATATTCTTAGATGGAGTGTATCTGTAGAAGTGACAAAATGAATAAAAAGAGACAAGTGGAAAAATTAGATTAGCCGACGCGTTTCGTCCTCTGAGGGACTTTATCAAGGCAATGGATGATTTATTATGCTGCACGTGTTTATATACACAGAGGCGAGGATGTCATTGGTTTATCAAGGCTTGTAAATTTGAGAACGTTCATGAATGTTCATCAGCTGGTTGAAAGGTCAGTCAAAGCAAAATTTCCTCATTCATAGTTTGCTGATAAGTAAAGTGAGCAAGTAAAATCCAATCATTTTTTGTTTAAAGTTAATATTTTGTGGATTGTGATTAGATTGTAATGGTAGGAGATGGGCGGGTGCACTGTACATATTCAAAGGCTGAAGTGGTATATTTAATCCTTTTCTTTCGATCTTTCAACATATTTGTTGTCATGTCTGTTGGCTTGGGAAAGTAGAAATTCTTTCAGGAAAGGTGACATTGAGAAAAAAAAACTATGGCGTAGATTTACAAGCCTTGATAGACCAATGACATTCTCGCCTGTATTGTCATGATAAAGTCCCACAGAGGACGAAATGCGTCGTCTAAGTATAATTTTTCCTCTTGTCTCTTTATATATATATATATATATATATATATATATATATATATTATAATAAAGAGAAAGAAAAGTAAGATATATAATCCGGTGTTCTTATTAATTACTTTGATTTTTACAAAAGTGCTCAATGCAAATATACAGAGCATAAATATTATAAATTAACTGATTTAAAAATATTCCATCGCTACACAGGAATTACCATGTTTCAAAAACAGAAACTAAAAACTTCAAATTCAATTATAGAATTAAATTAAAGTGCCTACTAGTCCTGTTTCATTTTCAAGCGAATTTTGAAATAACTTATTTTTTAAATTTACTGAGTTTTATAAGCACATACATTCATAATATTAGTTTCTATGGATATGGGGAAATCCATTCATTTTACTAAGGGGTGGCAGAGTATTCATTTTCACTGACAACTATTGTATCAAAATATGAGTTACTTTCGAAAAGAGGTTGAGTCAAAGTAGGGGAGGAACGCCTTTTCCGACGAATCATGACATCCGTTCAACGCATGTTGTCTTGTCTTTATCAACGACAAAAGGTTTTTCGGCACTTTTGTTTCGCTGTTAAATTTGTATTTGTATACATAAAGATTTTTTCTAAAAGGGTTGTAAATTTCAAAATAAGTTCTTCCAAGATTGGCTTGAAAATGAAACAGGACTAGGGACTTTAATTTAATTCTATAACTGAATTTGAAGTTTTTAGTTTCTGTTTTTGAAACAAGATAATTCCTGTGTAGCGATGGAACCATATTTTTAAATTAGTAAATTTATTATTATGTATGTCTATATCTATCTATCTATCTATCTATCTATCTATCTATCTATTTGAAAGGATTCTTTATTCGACATTATTTCTTAGTGGTTAGAGAACTACAATGGACAGGAAGTTGTGGAGGGCCATGATCGTCCGCGATGAAGGGATACAGCCCATAGAAGAAGTAGATGGATAATAGTCTAAATGCGTCAGATGATGTAATTCCAGCAAATACGTTAAAAGCCTAAACCTATATTATATATTTAGGATTATTATACCGGGTGTAAGAGAAAATTGTTCAAATTGTGTAACAGCATGGAATAATTGTCCATCCTACAAAATGTTTAATATGTAAAAGACGACCATACTGAGTTACCCACCTTGACACGATTATCGTAAGAATAACTGAATAACTCTTTGTGTTATTCAGCTAGAAAGAGAACGGGTTAAAATAATTTTATTGTCAGTCCCACTATGTCTTCCCAACTTAGCAATGGTGAGCGGGAAAAGATCATTCAGGTTTTCAGTAATAGTACCAACATTCATACTTTGGCTTTCATCTATAAAGTCCATTCAAGAACCATCAAGAGAACGTTTAAAAAAGAGGGAATGGTGGAGAGGAAAACTGGATCAGGTGATCACAACTACAAGAGTGATCATCATTTCAACTTAGATATAAATACATTCTTATTGTCTAGAGTCTGATAGTGTTATAAAAACCTCGGAGATTTCCAGTAAGATATATTTAATCATTTCTAAAATACAACGGTTCTAATCTAACAATTGGACAATTTTGTTGTTACACGATTTGGACAATTTGGCTGTGACACCCGATGTGTGTTGCTCATCTTATACTCACAACTTTTGGCCGTTATATTCCCTGGCCTTTCTCAGGTGCCTGTTGTTGTATTTTGTAGCCTTCTCGGAATCATTAAACGTTAGAATTTATGAGGAGATATCGTTCTCTTTCGCGATCTTCTGTAGGAAGTTTTGTAGTTTCTTTTCCGTGTTTTCTATCAGCACAGTGTCATCTGTGTATCTTATGTTGTTAAGATTGTGGCCGCCAGTGAATAACCCTTGTAGGCTTTCCATTTCTCTCAGAATTGCCTCGGTGTTTAGGTTGAATAGGTCCGGTGAGAAGACACATCCTTGCCTTACGCCCCTTTCTAATTTTGTATATCTGCTGAACTCATTTTTATCTTTATGCGGGCGATTTGCTGCCAGTATAGTTTTTTATTTATTCTAATGTCTTTCCCGAATATGTTAAGGTTTCTGAGCAGCTCTAACAGATCTTTGTGGCGTACTTTGTCGAACGCCTGTGCCTGGTCTATAAAACACAGGTGCACGTTCTTCTGCATATGTATTGCTTTTTGTGATAACATTCTGAACATGAATATCGCGTTCCTTGTTCCGATGTCTTTAACGAATCCCGCATTGTTCTTGTTCTAACTTTGTAGCGACGCAAAAATACAGGGTTGCATTTTTGTTAATCATTTCACCCCAAGCAAGGTGTTGAAGCCACTAAGACGTAAGAAAAGAGGACAATAAAAGCACAGAAATCAACGAGACAGAAGACAACGATTGATATCGCGTTTACATATTTGAAGATCACAGTTGATCGGAAAGCATGAAGTTCGTCTGGAGAAATTATTGCATTATTTTAGTTGCCAGATGAAAGATAATTTTTGTTAATTGATTTTAACATTGTAGTTATAAGATAAAACAAATTTTAGAAGAGTAGGCTTCAAAAAAAGAGAAGTGAAAATATGAATCAAATGCAAAAATAAAATAATTGAATAGTTTATGGAGAAGGTATTGTGAGTAATCAAGCGTGTAAAAAGTGGTTTGCAAAGGTCTGTACCGGAGATTTCCCGATGCACTTTTGACGATCGCGTACATTTGCGATCGTAATCAAATCAAGATTTTGCTCGAGAATAATCAATGTTATACAACATACGGAATAATCAATCTATGTAAATATTCAAATCAAACTCAGAGAATCATTTGTGCCAGTTAGATTATATTAGTCGCTTTGATGTATAATTTCTCCATAAACTGTATACAGCAGATATTGCATGTTCGGATTGCAATATATGGTGTATACATTATATATATATATATATATATATATATATATATATGTATGTATGTATGTAAGTATGTATGCACCTCCTACTCCAGAAAAATCGAGGCAGGGAGGGAGCGAGTGATAGAGATAGGAAGATGAGTATGAGTAACAAAAAAAAAGAAGAGAGTTGGGAAATCAGTGAACCTGAAGTAAATAAAGAAATAAAAGAAAGAGAAATTGAATTGAAAAAACGAATAGAAAGAGAAAGGAAATAGAAAAAGATTTTAAGAACGCATGAAAGAAAAGAAAAAGTAAGCAATGGGAATAGATAGATACATAGATAGATACGAACAGACTACGATAGATAAATCGATACGAACAGGCTAAGATAGATAGATAGATAGATAGATAGATATATGTGTGTGTGTTTGTGTGTGTATATATATATATATATATATATATATATATATGTGGAAAGACATAGATACAGTAAAAAAAATAAAATAGAAATGTTCAAAGGTTTAGCTTCTGACACCAAGTTACGCAAAAATAATTCCACTCTTCAGGGTGATATAAATCAGTTGACTTTATTATCAGATAATATATCTATCGCCACTCTTTCTCTCTCTCTGTCTCTCTCTCTCTGTCTCTCTCTCTCTATCTATCTATCTATCTCGAGCGCTATATATATATATATATATATATATATATATATATGGAGGGAGAGAGATAAGGGTGTTTAAAACAAGTTCTCAGTAGAGGCAAATCTTCAGTGCTTACTATCATAAATGAACTTGAGGTTATCTTATTCTCATTAGATAAGTCTAAGCTCTTTGCAATAGATATTGCCTCTAATTCCACTTAAGGCCACAAGGCTATCCCCTACCTGATTGCTCTCCTTTTATTGGTTATCAGCCTTGTGGCATATCTGCCACGGCCCGGCTCGTTTGCAACATCAATAAAAGCCTCAACTCGATGAAGGTTACTGTTCCGGATAAAATCTCGGTAGTTGTTCTTAAGAATCTCCAATCTTGGCAAAGTTGTTTAGCCGCTGTCTGAAGCAGAAATGTTTCTCAAGAATACAGAAGGTGCCAGCTCACTATTCTGACTTTAAGAATGCGAGTGAGTACTTATTCTTGCCTCATTGTCAAGCCATCAGTCTCATAGAGTCATCAGTAAGTGCTTTGAGTCTATGATCAACAAGAAGATTGTTAATCACTTCAATAGAAACAATCTCCTGAACGTTAATTAGTATGGATTCCATACTTCTGGGTCCACTGCTGATGTCCTCCTGTCAGTAAGGCACTTAAAAAAAAATTCATCACAATAACTATCGCCTTTGGGTTCTGTCATTGGATCTAACTAACGCCTTTATCCATTGTGCCATGTGTGTGAATTCAATTCGTCCTCAAGGTACAGTGGATAAAAGCTCCATGCTTTAGTTCCACCAGTTCAAACCTGTACAGCTAAGTCCCACCATACCATGTACACAAGGGGTGAATAATCTTCATTCCCTTAAAATTCCATTGGTAAACAGAAGATTCCATTCCGATAGCTTCTTCTCAAGAGACGCTGCTTTGCAGGACATATGCCAGAGATGGTACTCCCTTGATCACTACAATCTTATTTTCTTCATGTCTAGAGTCAACCATAATCCATCCTACATATCCTCATAATCTACAATTCTTACGTTCATAAAACAATCTCATCTAGTAACACTCTATTTTAAGTGGCTCTTAGGCCTTGTATTGGGGGAAAATAGCGTAAAGAGAGATAGATAGAGAGATATAGATATATAGAGAGATATAGATATAGGTATATAGAGATATATATAGGGATATATAAATATATATAGAGAAAGTTATATAGATAGATATAGATATAGATAGATATATGAAAAGAAGGAATGAAAGAAAAAAGAATTAATGACTGGAAGAAACCAGGAAAAATGGTAAAAGTTTGAAAGATGAAACGTATAGAAAATGAGCGAAAAGCTAAAATAATTCTTATTTCCAAATCTAAAATAAGTGAAATGTAAATATTCATGCAACGAAATATGAACTCTTCTCTCGTGTGTTCATAGAAAAAAAGACTCCTTCCAATGTTACAAATAAAACAAATGAACCTGGAATAAGAAAATCGCGAAAGAATATTTCAATTTTATCGTAAAACATTTCTAAATTTTAGCGAAGAAACCATGGCGCCGAAAGTCGTGATATTTTTTTAACCCTAAACTTCCAGCGCAGTAAATGAGACACAACAGAGCGTAAAGACTTGTTGATTATTTGCTTTAAGTTGAAAATGTGAACAAAAATAGCTATTTACCTCTTTTTGTTCTTGAAGTATTCAGTGCATTGGAGTTTTATCAACGCAGCTTCAATAAAACAAGATGTTTTATTTTTTATTTTATTTTTATTGTATTATTACCGCACTGGAAGAAAAAAAAACAAATAAGAAATGAATGGCATACTCAGAAGCAAGAACTTTACATCTGATGCTGAATATATATATATATATATATATATATATATATATATATATATATATATATATATGTATGTATGTATGTATAAGTGAACGTTGAAGTCAACACTGAGAGGCGACAGGTTGTTTTATGCTGGACGCAATCATCAAGCCGCGGATGCAGGATTTTTTCTCGGCTACTCCCGCAAAAATAACCGCCAGAATAGATTACCCACAATGCGCCACTGACCCACATACATAAATAGCTGAGGAAAATCTAGCATTCGCGGCCTGACGATTGCGTCTAGCATGAAACAGCATGTCGGCTGTCAGTGTTGACTTCAATGTTTACTTTTATATTTATATTTACATACGTTCTATCTCTGATATTGAACACTTTATCCCATAAATATAGCACACCTTAAAACACCTTAAAACTATATTTCTTCATTTCTGTTGTTCCCAGGTCCACCCTAATTTGGGGTGGTAGTACCTTTTAGGGTCCCAGCTATGGGTAAATAGTGAACCCCCAAAGCACTATGAAAGTATAAAATACGTTTTTCCAGTAAAAATAACAGGAA